ATCCACTTCTGAACCCTGCCATATTTAATATTTCCGTTGTGAATCTATCCTCTCCAGGTGTCTTGTTGGGTTTCATTTGAGACAATGCCTTCTTTATTTCGTCGATGTCTACTTCGGGAATTTCCTCAGAACCAACGTTAGTGACTGGAAGTCTAGAGAGTTGATTGATTGTTGGTTTTCTGTACAGTGTTGTGTAGAATTGTTCGACTATTTTCAGCATTGATTCTGTTGTTGATACAAGGTTGCCCTCAGAATTCGAAAGTTGATACATTTTATTTCTGTCTTTGGCTCTGTTCTTCCTAAGGACTTTCATGTTCGAATTTTGTGCTATACATTCTTTTATCATATTTGTGCTATGAATCCTGGTGTCCTTACGGATGGCCTTATTAACTGTTTTATTAATTTCTCTATATTGTGGTGTGCCTTTCTCTAGTTTACGTCTCTCGAGGATATTTTAGGGTTTCTCGTGGTTTTCAATTTTGTTATGGTTTTCCTGGTACTGTTCATAATTTGGGATGTCGTGTGTTGTACCAGGTCATCGAGTGAGAGTTGTTCTGTGTTTTGTGTGCCTGATAATCTTCTGTCTAGGTATAGTTGGTAACTGAAGATATTTGGGGGGGGGGGGGGGGGTGAGGTTTAGATGTTGACTTTTAGCGTGGCTGAGTTTGGATCTTTCTAGTTTTGTATTAATTTTAACTCTAGCTATGGTCGCTGCCTATAGAGAATTGGTTTATGAACATCCTCGACAATGCATTTTTTATTTACAAGGATTATGCTGGGCTAACTCCCTCTTCATCAAATTATGGGCCTGCGAGTGATGTCACTATCAGCAGAAAATAGCGATGACGTCACCCGCAGACCTCGATCGAATGCTTGCGATTCAGGCTATGCTAGTGAGTTAGTTTTTTCGTCGACTTTAAATGTAGAAAAGGTGATTTTTCGGTCTGTTCTCACAGAACAAATTAAGTGTTCTTGATCCTCGAATATCCCAGAATTTGATCGTGGGGGAGTTTTTTATTCTGTGACTTGACGTGTGTCATGTATCGGTGGTTATTCGGTTATTCAGCAGATCATGGTAATCGGTAGTCGATTTATAACTAAATATTATTTAGGAAAATGTTTTTGTGGCTCGAAATATAAATGTATGTAGCTTCTAGTAGGGATACGGCCAAATCAAATGAAAAACTCTTTTTTCTATCATAAAATCTTTCGCTATAATTTTATAGCTTCTTCCTTCTTCAGTTATATAGTAGTTGAGTTCTAATACATGATGTAGTTTTTAAAATTTTCGAGAAACATATTTATGTATTAGAACTCAACTTCTATATAACTGAAGAAGCTATAAAATTATAGCGAAAGCTTTTCTGATAGAAAAAAGAGTTTTTCATTTGATTTGGCCGTATCCCCACTAGAAGCTAGAAGCTACATACAACTAAATGTGTAGAAATTTATTTATTTCGATCATTCAGGGCCGGTTTCGCAATAGCGAGTCACCCCCAGGTTAAGGATAACTCTATAGGTAAACATTGCAACTGGACCCGTTCACCCTGGAGTTAAAAAAAAAACCCGCAGGTGACTCGCTATTGAGAAATCGACCCTAAAACAAGAGACATTTACCCCCATTTAGCAGAACCTAGATTTGTATTCAAATTTCTAAATTTTACGTGCTTTCAGTTAGTACACAACGTCGCCAATCTAGTAAAATTATTCCCTACTTTCTGGTACAATTTTTTTAGTGCTGATAGCATCCCTGTGGTTCCCTACGTTAGAATGAAGACCTCACGTCACACCTGTTTTTGCCATATGCTTCATCCCCTTGCTCCTCATACGGAAAGTGTCGGATTAAAAACGACGGACAATAGGTGGTCCAGGTTTTATATCCTTATAGTCCCTAGTGCATTGACCTTTAAAATTTGTAACTCATCTATAGTCTTTGTAAAGTCAATTGAAAGGTAAAAATACATTGCAACTGGTGGCTGACTAGTGGCAGTGCATTTCTTATGAAAGTATTTAATCAACAGTTGTGATTTACCTTTACCTTGTTTTAACTGACTTTAAATAGCTATTTTCCTAACGAGTGCCGGAAATATCTTCCCGCAAGAGTTAGGAACTATATTTTTTCTACGAGCATCGGACCCCCTCCAAAGCCCCGAGATTTTTCTCCGACAAATGTAATATCGCTAATGTAATATAAAAAAATTCGATTGGCATTGAAACAACACTTCCATGTATTACCTTCCCTAATGACGTCAAGAAGACAACTTCACGAGGAGCTAGTGCGACAATGTCCCTTCGCCCAGGGTGAAGATATGTACAAAATAATACGACTTGTGTGAAGCATCTCAGGAAGTATAGCGTGTACATGAGTTACAAAATTTAAGGGTCGATGTACTGGGACTATAAGGATATGAAACCTGGACCACATACAGGCAAAACCTAAAGAGCTTGGAAAACTCTCAGCAGCGCTGCTTGAGAAAAATATTTGAAATAAAGCGGCAGGATTCCCAGTATTCTTAAAGAAACCAGTTCGACCAGCATTGAAGCAATATACTCATCCAACATATTGAGCGTCGCTGGACTGGTTATATCGCCCGCATGCCAGACTCACGTCTTCCTAGCAATTTATAGACTCCTAACTAGAGGATTTAAACGGTTTCAAGGATGGCCTGAAGACAGTGAAGACAGACATGAAAAATGTCGGATCGGGTGGCTACAGCCCTGAATAGTCACGTATTGTGATAGAGTATTCATCAAGGGTCGCAGTATTTCGAATGATAAAGGCGAAATGATGCGGAGGATGAAAGGATTCGTTAACTGGTTAACAAAAGCGACCGCTGATTGGGTTTGCCTCTTAATTTGGGAGTAATTTCCGGTCCTGTAAAGGCCATCAGACAACCCATACAGAATACAGATAATGATGCTGTAATGTAGTCGTTAGCAAATGAATGCCAATGATCGCAAATGACGACCCTTAAGAAGGCGCATCCAAGAATATCTCTCCAGAGATTAGTCTGATTTTGGAGAACGCATCATATCGGAAATCCAGAGTCCTAGACAAAACAATTCCTCTTGCCTGAATAATCAACTAAGTCTAAGCCTCGGTCTGAACAGAAGATATATTCCATTACGAAAACGCCTCTCGAATTCAAAAACCAAACCGTATTGGCCTTGTTACAACTGAAACTCGAAATCTCGGGTGTTCAACACTTCATACACAATTAGTAAATTTACAGAGTTCTTTGGATAACCAAATTTGGGGCATATTTTTGAGAGAATCTTGGATGATGCTCAACAATTATATATATATTTTTTTCTAGATGTGACTGTGCGGCCTTACAAAAGGTTTGTTTGTTTGTGTTGTTCAGGGCAGCACTTCCTGCTTTGGGGAGTTCGTTTGTGAGCGTTTTATATGGGTGTATCTGCCATTCCATAATCTGAAATATTACAGCTTAGTTCAAGTTAGTGCGACACAAACAAACAAACCTAAAGTAAGTGAAACATTTGTGAAAATCGACGCAATTTAAAAAATAGTTAACTTTTGTTCGTAATTATCATGTTGGTTAATCCGCGATACTGTAAAATTTTAAATTCCGAACTGAGGCTACTGTCGTAAGTTATCACAGATAAATTTGTCAAAAGAAAAAATAAATGAAAATTTACCTCCTCTGGTTACACCTAGGTTGTTGTACCATCGTCACCAAAAGTAACTGGGACAGCATCACATTAGCTCTTGTTCTATTATATGAATTTTATTGTCAAATATTTGTCAACCTATGAATTAAATGCATTGAAATGAATGACAGCACAGAACATATCACCTCTAGAAAAGTATCTGCAATGGTATGTACCGGTTATGAATTACAGCGCCATCGTTGAATGAAAACCCAACTAATCGAGCATTCTTGACAAAAAGGCGAATCTATTTTTTCCCTATATTTTTAATATTTTTAAATAATTTTTAATGCTCAACTGCATTTGGCTTGCTGACTCCTTTTAGCTCTTTTCGCCTCATTTTCTTGAAAACTATGACTGGCAGGAAGTTTCCAATGTCGAACATAGTGCAAAGAGAGTTAGTAAGTTAGCAAGCGACACGCAGCTATAGGTAGATCGCAAAGTAAATACGAATAATAAATACAAATACGAACGAAACGAAACAAACGAACAAATACAAAAAATACGAACAAAAATTTGGGTTTTTTTCAACCAAAACTTTTTGAATTTTCACTTTATCGCGCGTGGGGACCGTGGGGTACAACAACACAATTTAAAAATTCAAATTTTGACTTTTGAAATGACAAAATAAATGACAAAACCAACCAACACAAATCACTGTCCGCACCACAGATACCTGTAAATTTCTCTTATCTCCCGACAGTGTCGCCATCGTTGATTGAAAACCTAACTAAAAACCTTCGTCGCGATTCTCCCATTTGAGATATTTTTCTATAGGTGATATGTTCTGTGAATGACAGTTTAATTAGTCTAGGAGATTATAATGCATTATTTGTGTCCCAGATACTTTTGGTGACGATAGTACGTTCTTTGGATATTGTAGAAGAAGCCTCCATAGATAGATATTTTTGACATAATGTAATTATACACCTATTTTTTTTTGCGATAACATAAATAGTCCTGTAGAATTCATGGGACAGGTAGCTCTTATCCCACGAGCGTAAGATAGATTTATTTATTAATTTAATTAAAGAAGACGATGTTGCTTTCCATTCATGAATGATTCATGAATAAATTTTGGACGAACTACACAAAGTTATTTTTTTCACCTTCTATTTTTTGTCTAATTAATTGATTACGTAGCGACTAAATGAATTGTGCTGTGTTGTGTTAGTATGAATGAATACTGACCACTGCAAAGTTTGATACATTTATCTATTAAGTGATAATTTTATCAATAGATTAAGGTGTGTCTAATGCATACTGCAATCGAAAATTTCCATCTTCCGAAGGATAGTAAATGGAAATGCTTTTTTAGATTCACTTACCACATAGTCTACTGCCGGTGCTGCCTTCACTAATGCAGGTGCATGAGCATAAGCTGGCGCAGCATAAGCTGGAGCAGCATAACCCGCAGGTGCAGCATATGCAGGCTTAAGAAGTGTAGGTCCTAAGGACGGCAAACCGTGAAGAGCTGATAGTGCAGGCAGAGCTGGTGCAAGTGCAGGAGCGAGCAGAGGTCCATGTGCGTATCCATAATTTAGAGCTGGGGCAGGGGATAGTAAGCCCGCTCTTGCCGTACAAAGTATACTAATCAGGGTTAGAAGCTGGAATAAATAAAATAGAATTTAAGGAAAAGAAAACTGCAAGAAGTTTTGTTTCTAATGAAAAAACTTGTAAAAAGCAAAAGTTCCTCAAGAGCATTTTGCTAGGCACTTCAAAACTCACATTGGGAGGTTGCCGAAGGACCTTACAAAGACAATTTTGTCAATGTCAATACTTCCTCGACGATGTCCAACAGTTCAATATCTCGAAAACTGAAAACTATTTATAGGTACCTATCCTTTGGTATAGAATATTTTTGAATAATACATATCATTGTAATGCCTATAAGCAAACTATAAGGTTCATTTCTTTATGTTTTTGAGAATTCTCTGATGTAAAGGAAGCAAGCTCGTCAGTCAATTTGACTTAAATGAGCGGCAAAAAATTTAATCTAGAATTCAGTCAAGAAAGTAGGTGAACATGTCGTAATTTTTCAGAAGCTTAAATCATTACACAGAATACTCAGATCTTTTTATAGATTCATCATTCTTCTGTCTTATCGATTTTAGCGAACGATGACTACTGCATCGTATAAATTTTATTCTGTTTAACTTTCTTCAACAGCACGGGTTATACCTATAGAGTTAGATGTATAATACAGCGTACGGCGTCTTGATAAATGACTATTTACTACTTCGTGATAATCATTTGACAATTACGTGCTAGGGGCTACTACATTTTCGCCAAGCTTGTTCTTCATTCGATTTCTTTTTCAAAGTTATTTTGCTAATTGTGCAGTTTGTTTTCAATAATCAATCGTTTTTAAATTTTGAGCTTTCTTCGAATAAGAAAGAAAGCTAAATTATTTAAATTTGTAATTTTGCTTAATAAGTTAAATTCGAATTTTCAAACAATTATACGCAAATATATAAGAACAATTTTTTGCCGCTTTTATTTTTTAGGTGGTTCCTCCCAAGCTTCAACAGTAGCAGATCTGTTACCGAAACGTCAGTGAAAAAGTCCAGAGGTCATCCGAGACTTATCAAGTATTATTTTATTAAAATAGCACAGAACTCGAAGCAAAGAAGTATTTTATTTTATAAGAATAATTTGGTAGGTAAAATAGACTCTTATCAGAGTGTGTGTAGTAATTCTTTAGAAGATCAAGAAACTTTTGCTAAAAATTTCAATTAAATTGTAGGTTTCAAAAAAGAATGGATTAAGTTAAAAATTATTTTGTAATGTTAACGTATGAAAATTATTTTTCCTACGAGCGTGCGCAAAGTAGTACTTTTCCGCACGCATTTCCGGGCTCAAAGTTACACTTTTCCGCACTCAGTGCGGATACAGGCCTTATCCGCACTGAGTGCCGAAAAGTAATTATAATTGTCAAGCAACAATAAGTGCACCTGTCGACTTTGACACATGATGACAAATTTTTCCTCTATTTCTATATCAGCCAACATCTATACAAACACCAATTATAAATTAACTTTGACACATCAGATTTGTTCTCTATTTATATGCAAAAATCTACAAACTTTCTCATCAAATTTAAACGCTTTAAGATGAACAGCTCTGACGAGGATTTTCTGTTATTTTTTTTTGTTATGTAATTTTTTGATAAATGCATAGGTTCCCTTCAAGTTAATTAAAAATAATTAAACAAATTATCGGTTTTTTTTTCAAATTTTTGTTATTACCTACCTGATATGAAGCTCGTAGGAAAAATTTTGTTCCTAACACGTGCGCAAAGTGTCTTTTCCGCACGCAAACACGTATCCGAACTCCGCTTCGCGTCGTTCGTATAACTGTGTTTGCGTGCGGAAAAGTAACACTTTGCGCACTTGTTAGGAAAATAACTATTTCCTACGAGCGTGCGCAAAGTAGTACTTTTCCGCACGCATTTCGGTTCTCAAAGTTGCACTTTTCCGCACTCAGTGCGGATACAGGCCTTATCCGCACTGAGTGCCGAAAAGTAAAAATAATTGTCAAGCAACAATAAGTACACCTGTCGACTTTGACACATGATGACAAATTTTTCCTCTGTTCCTGTTCCAGCTAACATCTATACCTACAAACACCAAATTTAATTAACTTCAACACATTGTCAGATTTGTTTTCTATATATATGCATCTACAAACTATCTCATCAAATTTATAGCATTTTCCATTTGTCGAAACAGGGCAAAAAAATGTATCCTTATCCTTACATGTTACATGCTTTTAGAAAAAGATGCGGATGCACTCAGTGCGGCACTGATGACAAATGGAAATCGCCATTAAACGCTTTAAGATGAAGAGCTCTGACGATGATTTTCTGTTATATTTTTTTTTTGTTATGTAATTTTTTGATAAATGCATAGGTTCCCTTCAAGTTAATTAAAAATAATTAAACAAATTATCGTTTTTTTTTTAAATTTTTGTTGTTACCTACCTGATATGAAGCTCGTAGGAAAAATTTTGTTCCTAACACGTGCGCAAAGTGTCTTTTCCGCACGCAAACACGTATCCGAACTCCGCTTCGCGTCGTTCGTATAACTGTGTTTGCGTGCGGAAAAGTAACACTTTGCGCACTTGTTAGGAAAATAACTATTTCCTACGAGCGTGCGCAAAGTAGTACTTTTCCGCACGCATTTCGGTTCTCAAAGTTGCACTTTTCCGCACTCAGTGCGGATACAGGCCTTATCCGCACTGAGTGCCGAAAAGTAAAAATAATTGTCAAGCAACAATAAGTACACCTGTCGACTTTGACACATGATGACAAATTTTTCCTCTGTTCCTGTTCCAGCTAACATCTATACCTACAAACACCAAATTTAATTAACTTCAACACATTGTCAGATTTGTTTTCTATATATATGCATCTACAAACTATCTCATCAAATTTATAGCATTTTCCATTTGTCGAAACAGGGCAAAAAAATGTATCCTTATCCTTACATGTTACATGCTTTTAGAAAAAGATGCGGATGCACTCAGTGCGGCACTGATGACAAATGGAAATCGCCATTAAACGCTTTAAGATGAAGAGCTCTGACGATGATTTTCTGGTATATTTTTTTTTTGTTATGTAATTTTTTGATAAATGCATAGGTTCCCTTCAAGTTAATTAAAAATAATTAAACAAATTATCGTTTTTTTTTTTAAATTTTTGTTGTTACCTACCTGATATGAAGCTCGTAGGAAAAATTTTGTTCCTAACACGTGCGCAAAGTGTCTTTTCCGCACGCAAACACGTATCCGAACTCCGCTTCGCGTCGTTCGTATAACTGTGTTTGCGTGCGGAAAAGTAACACTTTGCGCACTTGTTAGGAAAATAACTATTAGTATAGGGTTTTATTTATCTGTTAACTGATGGCCGTGGTTTTTCGCTTAGATAGGCCATATAACTGTTAAAATTGTTTCTGTATAATTGGAAATAATCAAACATCAACTTTTGCGAACTTGAAGGGCTCTAGAATCTCACTAATTTAAATTCAAATGTCAGTTGTACCAAACAGTGGTTCAGTTGAAGTCTACTGATACTACTGGTACTTGATTTGAAATGCGTTGCTGTCATACACTTTGACATATTTCCGACATCAATGCATTTTAAATGGGAAAGATCCAAGTACCAGTAAAGTTCAACTGAACCTCTTTTCGGTACAACCGGGACAGTTGTTCGAGGACCGAAATAAGAAACAATAATATAAGCAAACAATGCAATCGTCTGACGCGCATCGGGTACTTTTTTTCTATTTGATTTGTTATGCTGTAAAGGATCAGGAAAATCTGGTTTCAATTTTTGTGTTCAAAGTGGAAAGTTTATAATGACTCCTCCTACAGCCTTATTTGGACACTAAATTTGAAAAAATAAATAATTAATTATGCTATTAATACATTTATCATGATGCATTCGTGGAATATTTATTAAATCAGAATCATATTTTCTAAGCTCATAAATAATTTAAAGTAGGTTATGACATTTGCTAAGTACTAACCGTAATTTACCATAATAAATTATTGAAAAGCTACAAAAAATAGTTAGTCCGTTCTTGATTTATAGCAGAAAAGGGTAGAAATTCGAGTATCTCAATCGGATCAAGTTACCTTAACAAGAAAAAAAATCACATCATCAAGGTAACTGCTAAATTAAAAATATTACGGATTTGACACCCAGAAGAGAGTTCTGTTCGTCTGATTTGTAAATAACGTATTTATTGCAAATGTTTCGAAAATGATGCGATAGCGTCGCGACAATATGCAATGCAATTTCCAGTAGTAGGTAGTATAACAAGTGCATAAAATATTTCCGGAAATTTTTAAAAATTTTGTCTCATGCAAATTTTTTTACAAAATCATGAGTGCATAGCGCCTTAAAAAATCCCGATCCCGAACGGTGAGGGATTTTTTCTTTGACGCTTGCACGAATGATTTTGTTAAAAAAATTGGCTAAGGACGATTTTTTTTTAAATTTCCCTTAGGAAATATTTTATGCACGTGTTAAGCCGCATCCACATTAGTAAAAATTTACGTTGTGCGTGTCATTCGGCACAAATTTGTGTGCGCGATACAAATTTATGCGAGTGTGGACCTGTTCGCCGCATACGAACGTACGCAAAAATTTTCGCGACGTTCACCGCACGCGATCCGCGGCCTGTCGGTTTTTTTTTAAAGCCGCGTCCAGATTAGTAATTAAATGCGTTGCCTTGAATTCAGGATTCGCCACAAATTTTTGCGGTGCAAATTTGGCATCTTGACCGACATAAATATTTGTGTTGTGCGCCGTGCGTTCTTGCTCAACGCGTGTGTGCCTATTTTATTTCAGTGTGCGTGTTGCTTGTTTTTGGTTATTTGTTTCGTTCGCGAAAAAATGCGTCCACACTAGATCGCTATTGCGCCGCAAATTCCTTTGATGTCTTGAAAAAAACCGACAAGCCGCGGATCGCGTGCGTTGAATGTCGCGAACATTTTTGCGTGCGTCCGTATGCTGCGAACAGGTCCACACTCGCATAAATTTGTATCGCACATACGAATTTGTGCCGAATACCACGCACAACGTAAATTTTTACTAATGTGG